ATATATATATATATATATATATATATATATGGATTAGGTCGGAGCTTTGTAAGCTCCATCGAGGCTATCATGGAGGTATGGTTAGCCTTTGCCATTGTCAATTGTGTAGGTACTGAGACGTTTTTGTTTTACGCTGTCCATTGTTAGCTTATATCCTCTTCATTGTTTTAATTTAATTCATCATTCATCACTTTTAATTTATTACCCCATTTGCTGGATATTGTGAAAATTTTGTTTGAATGTAGCTTTAATTTCGGTAATCCGACAGAAAATTTGCATTATGATTTTCCGAGTTTCTCTGACAGTTATAATATTTTATCACCTTTTTTATCAGTTCTTTTTTCCGATCAAAATATTATTTCGACTGTTTTCTTCATCAACAATATCAATGCATTTTAGAACACGTGAGGGAATAAACATTCACGTATTGCATATGTCATAACATTTTAGAACATGTGCGGGTAATGAGCATTCACGTGTCGCATTCGTGATAAAGTCATAATATCGTATCATTTGGCATAAAACTTGTAAAACTATAAATTGAATGAAAAATTTTAGTTGGAAAAATTTTAGTTTGGGAATTTTTAAATTACAGATGATTTGTATGGATTATCATTATAATTAATATAATATTCATGCATTTGCTTATTATTTTCCCTTTTCTTCTCACATCCAATGAAGAATGGTAATTTGATCCGTTGGTATTCTCCGGTACAATTCTCCTCAACCGGATCATTTCCATAATTATTCCGTTCAGGTATGAAAGAAAACAATCGAAGGAATAGAACAGCAGAAATCAATGTCTACAACATATACTTCTGCATTATTTGTCAGTGACACTTTTTTTTTAAACTATTAAAACTTTGAAATTCCCAAATTTTTGCAAACGGGAAAAGATGATAAAGTAAGTAAAAATAAATTCTATTTGTTAATTAAAGGAATAATATCAAGTGACACAGGTATGCTAAACGAAGCACTAACAGGTAACTACATTCTCTAATTCCATCCGGTTTTTTTTTTTGGCGTTTGTAATAATTTCCCGAACATTATGGCAATGTGCGTGAAAAGTATGAAGATAGAGAAGGACTCACAAGTGAAATAAACGTGAGAACGTTTTGGATGAGAATAAAAGTATCGCTCCATTTGCAGTTGTCGAGTGAACCAGTTAAGAATTGTTCAGTTGTGATACAGCTAATTGATTTACCGGATGAAAGCTTAAACAGGAAACTGATCGTGTTCATTTTATTTAAGTTATAACTTTGTTTTTTATTTAAGTTATAACTTTTTTAAGTTATAACTTTGTTTGGTAACCGGAGCGATTGTTTACGGAAGATAAGCTTGCCATAATTAACAAAATTAGCATGTAACAATACATTAGTAAAGTGGTTAATTAATTAGTTAACTAACTAACTAGTTAATTAATGCCTTGTAAAAGTTTCAAATATAAAGTATTGAAATATATTTTGAATTTTTGCTCTTTATTTTTTTCTTTCATCAAAACGTTTCGATAAACGATACATATGAAAGGTTAATTATTGGATTATTTACTTCCTTTTTTTTCCCAAACTACGTAAACATTCTGCAAATTACCGCATTCATGTAATCGTATCCGGAATGAAATATCCGGATAAATAAACATCATATTTAGTTTTGTAGGAAAAAAGAAAGGAAATAAAAAGTTTTACGGTATACAGATCGGTAGCTATAGTCATAATACCAATAGCAGTACGTAATAGAAAGAAGAATACTGTAAAGCAGAATATAAATCGCTGATCGGACAATAAGCCAGCAATCGCCATTAAAGCAAATGCGATTTCAATCCCAGCTAAAAAAGAAAAAATTTATATTGAATAATTTTGTTATTAAGCTTGTTTTTGTCATCTTTTATCATTAAGTTTGTCTTTTGTCATCTCAAAAATAGCGCTATTGTCCTCATATTTGATGCTAGAAAAAATCCCGGAAAAAAAGGGTGAGGAACGGGAACAGGAGTAGCAATGACTTAATTTCACTGTTGCTTTATGATTTTCAACTTCCTTTTTTTTTGCTTTCATTTATCATCATGAAATTCCGGAATAGTTGCTTGAAAAATCAGGCAGTAATACAGTATCCAGATCATATTCTTCCCTTTTCATTCTTCTCTTCATTTATTATATAATGGACTGAATACTATTATTTTTTTAAAAAAAAAGAAAAATTCCGACTTTATTATCATTCAATTTGCTATTATTCAGTGACTTATTCCTAAAAACCTGAATTTCGAATTCACTTATTTCTTTTACGGAAATGCCAAAAAAAAACTCACGCCAATTGTGATTCTCAATCCATCCATAAACACCATTTTCAGATGCAAATTTAGCATTTTGCACAATAAGATGAGTAGCAATGAACATACGATAAATACAGTAACCAATCAAAATTGAATTTTCCAGTAGATCCGAGATTTTTTTACCCATTTCTCTTTTTTTCTTTCCTTTTTTTTTTTTTTATAAAATGTGGACAGTCTTATCCAGATAATAAGTCAGTGGACGTACAATACGTGAACTGGAAGATTTAAATTAGTAATGGATAATTTATTCGAAAGATTTAGTAACCACCGCTTACTTATATTAATAAAATGGACAATAAATGAAGGAATTAAATGTGTCCTTCTTTATGCTTTGTTTATGCTTTGAACTCAAACAAAACGCTTTAATAATTTCTAAAAGAAATAATTTAATTTTAAATAATTTTAAAATTTAATAATTTAACCTTAAAAAAGAAAGGAATATTTCATACTAAAAGCGCCATTTTCGACATCTTGAAAATAATCACGGAATTTGAAATTTAATTGGCTAAATAAGCGCAAAATTAAAAAATTCGAAAATTGGAATCAAAATTAGTTGTAAATTGTATTTCTCATTATTGTGGGAATTATGCGGCTAATATCACAATTAATCATTATTTGATCAACTTTATCAGTTTATATATTAGACAATAACGCGGTCATCTGCGCCTTTTATCCATTTTTTCTTTTTTTTTGAATTCTTGGCTTACATATTTATAAATAATATTTCTTAGCTGCAAACAGTTTAAGTCTCTTAACTTTTCTATCTAATAATTCAGAAATATTGATTGGATTTTGCTAAAGTTGGATAATTAATTAACAGTAAGATGACATCTTAAATCTGTGTGTTCAAATATAATTGAACAGAGGGGAATATTGAAACTGGCCTTTGGTCTTGACCACAATTTAATTGTAAAAATGACCGTAATTTAATGAAACGACTTTTATTGATAAAAACATTTCCAGACAAAAAAAAGGAAAAATAGAATTGTTTGGCACTTTTATGATAAATAACTTTCTTATTTCATAGTATTTCGTTACAATGGAAATTCAAAATGTAAATGATATGCTAATTTTATTATTAAAGCATTTTGCGTATATTTGATAAAAGACAACCGTTTATGATATGTCCTTATCACTTATCAATGCAGAATTCTTTTTCTTTTTTATCATTTCGCTACTTTAACTCTTTGGTATTTTTTCGGAATCCAATCTTCATTATGGATCAGATTAAGAAATGAGAATGATCAGCTCATTTCAACCGATATCAGCGACCAGTTCCACTATCGATAAGTGTAATTCTTATCAGCATTCAGCAAAACGTCCAACAAGGAATGCTATAGTCACTTTCAAAATTCAGAAACTTTGCAAAATGATATCAACAAAAAAAGAGTTACGCAATCCGGAATGCAATTCGGTATATCAAAAGAAATTATGCAATAAGGAATGAATGTGATAAAGTCGTACATTTGATCTTTTCTGAATTGGCACTTTTATCATCCAAATATCATATTGTATCTCCTCTTCTCTTTCTCTCTTCAACTAATTCCATGTATCATTGTGTATCACTATTATCATATCACCTTTTCTCCTTTTGCATTCAATCAATTTTTTCTTTTCCTTTTTTTTTTTTAAATGAGAAACTTATTTAATCCAGGTTACAAGATATGAACGAAAGTGACTGTAAACGTCATCAATGGATTTGTTGATTCATTCGGACAATGTCTTCAGCAGATAGAATTGTTTTGATACATATTGGTCCAGGGGACATTATACATTTATGTGATGGTGGACATTCCATTGCATCGCATGCTGTAAAATATATTAATAAAAATTTATGCATAACTAATAATTATCTTAAATTTTTAAATCATTTACTTGAAATGGAGTAAAAGAAGAAAAATCGATACTTTGTTTTTTTCCATACTTTAATTTTAAAAAAGCAAATCTTGTCTTTCTTTTTTTAAATTTTAACCATTTAGTTTTAAGCCCAAAAAAAAGAATTTAAAAGAAAGAAATTTTTTGTTAAAAAAAGACTAAATTTGAGACTTAATTAAGGGAAAGTAATGAAGTTTACAAACTTCCTGGTGAGACACATTTTGCAATTTTACGGCATGATCGACCAATGCAAGGTACCAACTTTTCGGCACATACCTGACCTGCTGGACAGGGTGGGTGACTTTTACAACCTGGAACTTCATTAAAATTCCTAAAAGCATGGAATTCTTGAAATGAAATATGTAAAATTTAGCCGAAAAGTTATCAATACGTTGTATCGCCTAACTTTATAGCCAAGAATTCTTTTTATCTGGAAAAGTAAAATTAAAAATACATTTCTTAGATATGTAAATTGCAATGAATTTTCTTCATCAATACCTTTGAGAGATACTAATGAAATATATTGATATGCAATCGGTACATGCTGAAAAATACTAAAACCTTTGATGCTATCAGGCATACAAACAAGCATCGGTCGACATGGTTGTTTGGCGCATGAGACAATATTGCGCTCCTCACAATATGTTCCCAATGGACAGAATGTGTCAACACATGCTGAAATATTTCGAAATGAATTTGTCAAAATTATCTAACAAAGTCTAATTTTTAAAATCAAAAATTTATCAACGTCATTTGAAATTAAAAGTTTCAAATTAAAAATTTGTTGATATCATTCAAAATTAAAATTCTAAATTAAAAATTTATCGGTGTCATTTGAAATCAAAATTTTGAAATAAAAATTCATCGATGTCATATGAAATTAAAATTTTGAAACTAAAAACTTATCGATATCATTCGAAATCAAAATTTTGAAACTAGAAATTCATTGTTGTCATCCGAAATCAAAATTTTGAAATTAAAAATTTATCATCACTATTTTGCTGGTACATTTATGAGCACATAATTACTCGCTCCACTTAAGATTTTTCATGTTTTCTTTTCTCTGGATGAATTAAGTGCAAATTAAAATTAATTTATGAATGTATTAATTGAAATTATAAAACTATGTATGATAAATACATTTATGAAACAAATGCACACTGAAAATACTTTTCAATATATTGTTAAATTACTTACTGTCAGATTTGTTGAAACCAATGAATATGTTAAGAATCTAAAAGAAATTATTAATTAATCAAACTCAAAAATTTGAATTTGTGAAGTTTAAAAGTTTTTCGATTATATCAATTAAGATTTAAAGGAAAAAAAAATTCAGAATTTGTTTTATTTATCGATGCGAGTATTTGAAAAAGTAAAATAAGCAGTGTAATTAGTGGGTCCGTTTTTCGTTTTTTGTAGATTTTGTAAACTAATACTTTAAATAGTTTTATTCTAAATAAATCTATTTGAAAATAAAAATTACTAACAATTAAACAAATTAGAAGCATTGGTACAATGTCGTTTTATAAGAGTTGTGGTAAAAATAAACTTTCAAGCAATTTAAGTATTGCAGGAATAATTTCTTCAAAATAAAAAGGACCAATATTAACAACAAACAGGTTTTAAAAAAAAAAGAAAGGTACGAATATAAGCAATTAGGAAGCGGTAGTGTACCTTTTTTGGCTATTCTCCAAAATAATTACTTCCAATTTACTCATTTGCATCATTAATATTTCAATGCAATAGCTAATTTATGCAAAATAATTTGGCATGAAAATATTGAGATAGATAAAAATAGATTTTAAAAGATTCAAATATGACTGGTGCAAAAATATATCAATATGTCAAGATATTATCAATATATCAATCATTTACGTAGATCAATTACATATGTACGTGAATGCATACGCATCTTCGTGATAGTATAATTTTTAATGGGATAGTTTGGTATCATCAAATGTTTGATTATATTTCATTCCATTTCTAGTTCTATCATTTCGTTCAAGTCATTGCTCACTTTAAAACAAAAAAAAAGAACGAAAAAAAGAAAACGAGAAGTTTTATTAATGTGACACCATTGAATGACAGCATAATTTGTACATTTGTACATTTGTGCATTGAAGTCATTTTTGAAATGAAAATAATTTCTCGATTCCAATAGTTCTTTGCTCTTTCATCAAAATGAGTTTCCATAACGAGTTAATTAATCGATATATTAGTAATTAAGTCTTTAAATTCTAGGTAACTAAAGTTTCATTACAATATTAAAATGGTCAAGTTTAAGTGGACAACAAATAAATTTGTTTGACATTTTATCTGTGAGTAATTAAAATTAGCCAATTTTATTGCTTTCAATCGCTGATAAGGTGAGATTCATTTGCTAACATCTTGCATAAATTATTCTAAGTTCATGAAAACTGAAATCAATTCTCTCATAAACTTCAATTTTGTGAATTTTTTTTCGAACTTCTCTTTTTTCGGTTCATTTTGAATAAAGTGAATGGAAAAAATTCCACCTTTATTTTAAAATTGTTTTCCTCTTTTTATTTGAGTTTTCATTTTATTTGAAGATTTGAGAGAAAGCATTTTTTTCAGCAACTAGAATATCCAGCAGTATTTCACGTGAACTATCAATATTATTTGCTAAAATATCAATGATAAATCAAATTTAATTAAATCATTTTAGTTAATTGACGACAGTTATCTTAGAGTAATGAATCAATAGGTATTTGAAGTGCACAAATAATAGATTAAGAGATATTAATTAGCGCTGGATATTCTAAAGTCAGTAAGTATTAATTAGAAGCGCATAAATGACAGGTCAATAAATATTAATTAGTAGTAGATATTCTGAAATAATGGACAAAAGTATTTAGTTGCATGTGTATTTTAAGGTTTCACGTGAACAAGTTAGCATGGGGCATAATTAAATTACATAATTAATGAACTAAGGCATACCTGTCAGATACTTTAATAAGTTGCATAGCGAAATGAAATTTTTAAAATGCTAACAAGTTAGACTTAACCTTAATTTATTTTATATTTGTCATTATATTATCTCATAGGATGACTTCTGAAAATTATTTTTTTTGTAATATGAAATTAACTATTATCCATAGAGATAGTCATTATGCGGACTCTTTGACCTTTTCTGTACTTGATCAAATGACGAAATAATTTTCAAATTTCATTCCAAAATATAAACTTATTCAACTTTTCTTTGACCTTTACGGCTTGAACTTTCTTTCACTGCTTTATTTTATTACATTCCCCATCTCTTATCTGTTACAATAAAATATATCATTTGTTAATGTGGATAATACAGTTCCCATAAATACATACCGTACCCAAAGTACCTGATCTTAATTTAACATTTCCTCAGCTGCACCAATTAAAATTATCAATTCATTAAGATAATTAATATTTTGTACAGCAATTTCCGTTCTTTTTAAATAATCTCATATTTAACTATCGATAGTCAAAAAAAGAAAGAAAAAAGGATAATAATGAATTTAAATTTAACAAAAAAAAGATTTTAAGAATGAAATCAAAAAATGATTTAAAAACTTTTTGTTTTTTCTTAAAAATTAAAAAAGCAAATGATAGCTTAATAAATGTATTTTGCATTAAATTGATCGATTTATCATTTCATTCTTCGCTTTTTTTTTTCTATCAAAATAATTTCACAATTAATTCTAAATTTTATGACAAAAAAAAGAGAGTTGAAAAAAGCAAATGGAATTCAATGCAAGTCTAATTGCTTAGCAATTTATTAATTTTAAATAATTATATTAGAATTTGTTCGAATTCAAATTGGTAAGTGCATGTTTACTTTTGAAAAGTGAGGATGTCAAATAGTTTATTCATCACTATGCATTTTATTCACTTCTATTCAATCCCTTTTGCGCTTTCCATCAAATCCTTTCTTCCTTTCTGCGCCTTCTACCCAATCCTTTTTATGCTTCCTACTCAATTCCTTTTGCGCCTGCTACTTCCAACATGATCTCACAATGCGCATTTGCAAATTACACAATTTCCTCTTTTGTTATTTATATATTCCGCTTTGCTTACTTCGTTCCTTATTTCATCTCATACATACAAATACCAATTCAATTCATTAACCAAGCCAAATTCTTTCGTAATCCCGAATCCTGAATCCTGAATCCTGAATCCTAAATCCTGCATTCCCCTGTATATCCTGAAAAAAAAAGTTAATTCATGAGAATCATAAATTTAATTATAAGTATGGTATATTACACTTTCATAAGATTCCTAAATTTTATTATATCCATATATCTTTTCTCTAATTTTGTAATTTACTTAATCTAACTAGTTAGTCGATTAATTAATTAATTTATCTTTCCAAATCTTTCCTCATTTGATATTTTAATTTCATTCAATGCGCAAAAAGGACAATTGCTCATGTAAACTGTTGTTGGACATCTTTCCTTTGCAATTTATTTCTTATTTTTCTTATTTCATTTTATTTTATTTTTATTTTTATTTTTTATCACAAAAATCCCAAACTAAAAAGATTGTTTGCTTACAAATGAAATATTCATTTGAAATAAATTACTTATTGAACAAGTAAGTTATAATTTATTCGTTTTATCCGTTGTTTAATTAGCAATGGTACTTTAAAAATCTATCCTAATTATCACTTTTCAATTATAATAAAATATCTTTGACAGAATTAATTTTAATAATTGCTTATTTCAATTAGCACTATTTTATTTTGCCGTGCGATAAAATGCGATATTTGCGATAAAAAAAAACACAAAAAGATTTTTTGTTTCAAGTAAGATAATTTTTTACACGTAAATTTATCGTAGACTAATTTTACGCCAAAAATTGTAATCACTTAAGTAAATTTATTTTGCATCAATTAATTTCAATGATAATATAATGAAAGAAAAGATTTTTAAAAAAAAGAAAAGAAGAACGAAATTGTTGGAATATTTATTTCAATTCGTGCTAATTTAATTTTGATATATTTGCGTAAAATGTATTTTTCGATGTGAAATAAATTGAAAATGAAATTATCATATTTTGACAATCATATCGAAATTATCAATTATGTATTTTAGATAAGCAACCATATTTAGTAAAACTAATTAACAAACAAATTATTTTGCTTCATTCTTTTTCATCCTCAAAAAAAAAAATAATTAAATTTTTCATTCATAAATATGTCATTTCGAGCCTTTTTGTTAATCTTTTCGTCAAAATTATCATACATTTATGGTATTTTTGTTCTATATAAACAACAAAAAAACAAAATTCATGAAATGTTAATATTT